GTATCACTCAGCATCTACACATAACCACTTACATCTCTAACAGCAGTCACAGATTCATAGGAAACACATAGGTTTCTTTAGGAATATACAATTAGGTCCTCGTAGCACAATTATATTCCCTACGATGCAGATGAAACTAAGCAGTCAATCAACTCGTATATGTTACAAGTCCCTGTCAGTTTAATGGTAATCTTCTCACGTAATTCCTCAGAGGATGCATTGATCAGCTTATATAAATTACATGGTATTAAGGTTTTGTATTAGGGAATCAAATTCCAGTCATCCTATACCTCAGTGCTAAGAAAATCTAAATCAATGTTATATTGTTTTATTAAACTAGGAGCAGAGTCACAGAGGTCCCCTGCAGAATGCGTCTTTTATCCCCATGACCTCATTGCCATTCTGCTTTTTTTATACTTCTCCCAGTGTCTGCATCCCGACAGGAGGTCAAGACGATGAGTTCCTCAGTCACTCACAGCCTGGTTCTCTTGCATTTCCTCAGCTCTTTTAAAATAAATGGGAGCTGCCTGTGGTCAGAACCTTTGAAAATCTTTTTCTAATTATCATCTCCCAGATTGGCTCTGTTTTTCTGTGAACCTGACAGGGCAGATGAAGTTGTATGTCTTGGCTGCCTGTAGGTAAGCACCATTTACTAAGCTACCTCCATGAATTTTCCTTTGTGCAGGCTCTGGAATAGGCAAGCAAAGATTTAAGTGTCCCTGAATTGCAGCATTGCAGTGCTGCTTCCTTTCCTTCCTGAATAGAAGCATTCTTCTTGGTTGTAATGAATTTTACCATTGCTCTTGATGAACGTGTTGTACTCAATATTGAATAATTCTGCTTGTACAAGGGACGAATTCATGCATTTTGTGCCTTTGCTCACTTGAAGATATCTTAGTGCTTATTGTTCATCAAAAATGGAATTTGTAACAAATAACAGTGCCCAGTACTGGAAAAGTCTTAACACAGTTTTCTCTAATGAAGTAGAGCATGTAATGCTTGTGGTTTTATCATAATACAGGTCATTTGATGGCTTAGTAATGTTTGTATGGAAACAAAAATATTTCTGTTATGTATCCCAAGAAAAAATAATGAATTTGAAAATGGCAAAGTTGCTTTTGTATGTACAAAAAATATTACAAGAACAGATGTGCATGATAGAATTAAACTTATGCTTTATTTCCATTATCTATTTTAAACCATCCACCCTGAAATGTATCGACTCTTGAATTGTTTTAAAATAGGGATGGAGTTTTATTTTATCTAACCTAAGTCATCTTATCTTGTCTTTTCTGGTCTTAACTAGACATCTACACTTATCCCATAATTTAGCCTATCTATATCAAGAAATAAACCTGTCTAGGCTAGGATCTTTTCTGTGTCCCAAAAGCAGGCTTACTGGCATGGTATACTAGTATATGTACAGCTAGACATATAACTAAGCTCTTCCCTTTCCAAAACTACCTACTACCAAAGTAGGAAGTGTCCAAACTACCTATTGGGAGTGTCCCCAGCCATGGTAACCCCAAACCGTGCTCAGGCATCATTAGGGAGAGCACTAGCTGTCCCAGGGCAGAACTGTGCTAGCAATTTTACTAACAATTTAACAATGTGGAGACTTCCAATTCTTAGGCCCATACTCCAACATTCTAACATTACTGGTACAGATGTAATCTTAGGCTCTTTCTACGCTCAGTGAAGGGACTTTTCCATCCTGCTTGTCTTACTTGTACAATGGGATGGGGTAAGCTGATACCTGAAGATACTGCTTTCTATAAGAAGTGCCTGGATGATTCAGTTAAACCACACATTTGATATTTGGACACCTAAAATTAAGTGGGATGAGTGTTATCACAACTGATATGGCCTGCATTTATCCTGCCTAACACTGATCATCACATACCTAACTTAGGAATATCCTGGATATAAACTATATACTCAATGGAAAAAAAAAAAAAAAAAAAAAGTCCGAAAGCTGTAGTCAGCCTAAGATCTATTTGCAGAGACCTCTAGAAATGCTTGTGCCAGTCTTAGCTGTGAAGAAATATGAAGACAACTGTAACTTACAACAGCTCAGGTAGGTGTCTGAGCCTGAAGCCAAGATGTTGGAATCCAGTCTAGCAAATGCATTCCTTGGATACTGATTGCAGATGGGCCTACACAAAATACCAAATTTTATCTTTTGAAAATAGTGTAGCATATCACTGTAAGAGGGGAAATAAGCTTGAAAATACAGCTGAAGTATAATCAAGTTTGCCTGGGTCTGTAGGCAGTATGAAGTAATGAGCCTGACAAATATATCTGATTTATCTCAGTTAATCAAAGAGAAAATCTTTGACACTTTGGATTCCCGTTCTTTATTAAATAAATGGGCTAAATCTTAGCAAGATTTTGCAAGAGAAATTTTGCAGCATTTGAATTGCAATCACATCATGTCAGCAGCATTTCTTCCCGAGGGACTGATAGGAGCTACAATTACTGAAAGGAAACTATTAAGAAAGCCTATTTGTGAAACCTTACTCAATGACTTATTAATTTGGAAGAATTCATGCAAAATTGAGGAATAAATAATTTAAATGAACAATTGGAAGATGGCAATCACAGCACCAAATCATACTACTTGCAACATACAAGCCTTGTGACGCAAAAAGCATTGTTTATTAAAAAAATACCTTGTGTGTATGAGAAATGCATAAGTAATCTTGTTCCTTCCTCTTTTTGCAGTTTGTTTTACCCTTGCACTATCAACAGTACAATCTCTACTGTGAAGACAGCAACACTGTAGTCATATTTTTTGGCACATTTCACTGAAGATTTCCCAAGGTAGCACATAATATGTTTAAAATCAGTGTAGGTTCTGTTTTATGGTCCCTACAAGGGTTTTTTTTTTTTTTCTTGTCTGCATTGTGCCCATTTATTCATGTGAGCCCTAAGGGCAAAATTCATGACGGTAGGCTAGACTAGATCTAGATTGTTAACTAAAAGGAAAAAGAGAGGAAGCCCAAGTGTTAAACTCTTACTGCATATTGCTTAACCCAGCTCACAGCATTGAGGTGGTGCTGTGCTGGATGTCCGGCTACTTTCTCCCAGAGGATACTGTGCTGTGGTTCAGGGAATATTTTACCGAAGGGATCACTTCTGAAAGAAGCATTGACAAGACCTCACCAGCTTTGATTCCTCTGACCAGCACAGTCCTCCGATGCTGTCCCAGCAAGTCTCACATCTTCCTGCCGGTTCACAAGCTCTTTTATCTCTCGAAGCAGGAAAGGCACAGCCCAGATTTCAGGCTTCAGAAGTGATTCTCAGGTGAACTGCACAAAAAGCTTCCATGTCATTTCAGATGACTTGAAAAAAAAAACATAGAAAAAAAATTACTGTAATTATGTTGCGGGGCCACCCCAGAGAGCATAGAGGGAACCTAGACCTGGCCAGTGTGAAGGATGGTTGAAATCTTCTGACCTTGTTAGTCTTTTATTTAGCACTACAGGCACACAAGTAAGATTTGCACATCATAAAGTGTACTATTCCAAGTATTACATTTATTCAGATGTAACAAATTCAACCTACTGGATTTTGTCAATATTTTTGGCCTTACCTTTCAGATTGTTTTTACCTTTTGTTTGTCAGGGTGCAGTTTGCTTTACAAATAAAGTTGTGTATTTATTTATTTATTTACTTGACTGTTAATGGAAGAGCAGTTGTAACTGAATGGCTGATTTGCTTCAACTCTAACCCAAGCACAGGAACAAAAATGTTCATACAAACTGTGGCCAAAGCTGACTGTGGCCTGTAGAAGCTTGCCCATGCACATACCTTTTAGTGAAGCTCATTTGTATCCTAAAAGATTACCAGATCTACATGGCTTAAGTAATAACAGAAAGGAAAATAAGTGGTTCATTTAATCTGCCTTCCTGATTTTTAATTGTTAGATTTACAAGTCATTTATCGCTAATCACTTGCATTTCCTTCTAAGCTGTTTTTGGCAAGCTGAGGTGAGAATAAATCCAAGAGTTCAGATAAACAAAAGGTTTTAGAGAATTGTTGAAGAGGTGCTGGTCTCAGTTTGTAATGTCCTTCATCCTTTTCTTTATTTGCATTAGCTCAGAATGTTTTGTCTGGTAGCACACAGTACATTCTCCTAAGAGCATAGCATAAATACTGTAATGTCACTTAATTCTTCAAAAAGAGCTCTTAAAGGAGATTTCCACTGAAAAAAATGTAATTATATAAGAATGCACCATAATGTATTAAATAATATTAATTTAAAACTATCCTGCAGTGAGACCCCCTGAACTTTCTCAAAAGGTTTAAACTTTTCACACTCACCATGAAATTATTGTGGGCAACTGGCCAGTTCCTAAATAAACTCTGTATATCAGTAGTGAAGCTTTTAATTTTGAACATGATTGATCCCCAGCCATTACGAGAACTGTCAGCTAAAATGAAGGAGTTAATTGCAGTTAATTTTTCATAATCGTATTATTTCATTGAAATATTTACACAATTTTTAAGTGAATTTCACTTAAACTTGACTCAGACCACATGAAAAGTGTATCTTACCTTCCCTTTATTTTCCATGGAATAGCTGTTCTTTCGTGATCAAAATTATGTGGGCAGAAAACAAAGCAAAACAAAAACTTAGGAAGCTTAGGTCTTATGCCTTCTGACATAGTTAAAACTATTTATCCTTTGCCATATTCTCACCATAGTGTCAACATCCTGGAAACTTAGTAACTGCATTAAATTTCAGCTTTCAGGTTGTTTGCTTTGCCAAGAACATTAATGCACGTTCCTGTCTGTAAATGCAAATCGATGATGTGCACAGATACTCACATTCGTTAGCTCTGTGAACTGCTCTCGCTGTCAATACGTCTGTGTTCGTATTAGGTGGCTGGAGCACTTCCACCCGGCAAGCTGCTGGCTGCAGTCTGTAATGAGACTTTGGCATGTGCAGACACTTCTGCCACGTCTCTGCTTCTGCAGAAAGGAGCGTGGGCCGGATGGCCGGTGTGAAACCATCCTGCGTTTACCTGGAGCTCTGGAGTGCACTGCAGTCCTCTCCTGTGGTAGAAATGGAGATGCACTGTGGGAACGCAGGCCTTGTAGTCTCCAAAGCTTTAACATGCCCTCAGTGACTCCAGGCTATCAAAGAAGTTGCATACATGCCTTACAAGAATGTGCTACTTTCACCTAGACCAGAGTGCAGTCATAAAGGTTAATATTTATGTGGCTGGAATATCATAGTGTTTCAGGACGAAAAGGTTAAGAATCACCGTTTCTTGACTTTGCTTTGGGGTTCTACCTAACATTGCATATATATCTTTGTGGCTGAAGTGTTGGGATATACCATATTTTTATAAGCATTCTATGCAATATACCGTATATTTAAAAAAAAAAGTGTAAGTGACAAAACTTTTCCTTTTATTTCTGAAACATGGATAAGAGGCCTTTCACAGCTGGCAGAGGTGGGAGTTCATGAAGAGCCTTGTGCTGTCCTGTCTTGATCTGGACAGACCCTCATAGTTATGTGGGAGATGTCAACTTTTCCCAACAAGATTAACTCCAGTAATTGCTTTTTTGCCCATTTCAACACAGTTGTCTGACCACTGCTCATCTGTGTTAGAGAGCTAGCCCTACTGCTTGTTCTTCCTAGCCATCTCACTCTTCCAACAGTCATGCCTTTCTCTATATTTAGGACACCCACTTAGAGATGCTTTCTGCTTTCAAGGGGCCATATTAATTACACTAATTCCTCTTTTAGTGAATCTCTATTTTAGTAAATCTAAATCTAAAACTCTCTATTTTAGTAAACCTTGGAGTGCATTGGAGTGAAGTGAAAGTGGAGCCTGCGGTTTTGTCTCCTCCAAAAGGAATCTACTTTTCTCACCAAAATTTTTCACAAACTAACCTAGCACATAACAGGTGGGAGTGATTGGGGGATTCACTTCAAATTGCTCCAAATCAAATGTACACATGGCCATAATTTCTCAGAAAAATCTAAATATGCTGATGTATTCACCAGGAAGTCTGTCTTTCTCACAGCTGTCTTGTGTGCTCATCTGAGACTGTTATCTGAATCAGATCTGGGTTTCTTGATGCCAGGACCCTTGTATGAATGTGTCATTCAAGCTACCGTGAACCAGTGGGAGCCCAGACTAAGATTTCCTCTCCCTCCCTCTGCACCATTTGTATATTATTTTGATCTAGGTTCTTCTGATCTAGGTTCAAGGCAGACAGCTGTACTGGCTTGTGTCCTTAACTATGCTCGTGTAAACTGAAGCCTGGTGGAAGTAGACATCAGTTCCTTTGCAGGAAACCTTCTGTGCCAGGCTGAGAAAAATTTGGTGAACACCTCGCAGTAGGCTTTTGGAGCTGGAGACAAGAAATATGTAGAGCAAATCAGGCCAGTGTACATTTTTTTTCAGTAATTTCAATATTAATTTTATTATCCATAATATTAATTTTAAATATCTGGAGAAAATGGCCTGATGTTTTATTTTGGATTGAGCAATTGCCAAAAATGGTCTGCATTCATTACAACATTTCAGCCTAATACTGTACTTTTAAAAATATATGTGCTTGTTATGTGCTGAAGAAAGCTGAAATGTGAAACATTTAAACAGCAGTACAAAGCAGGATGTATGTCGTGTGGAGCAACAATTACAACCTAAATGTGTAGAGAAGAGCTCAGTGAAGCTAAACGCCTCGAGCTCCGCAATATGTAATATTTTCACAGCATGAGTAATTGGAGATATTCTGTAGAATTGCTTTGAGTTCAGATTATTTTAAAGCCTGTCTTGAATCATTCGGCGTTTTAGACAGGGGCTATTGCTGTCCCCTTGCTTAGCACTTGGCTCTGGTTTCCAGCCTCCGAGCTCTCACTGATGTGTGTGCCGCACAGACTTCCAACAGCGCTGCTGTCCGTCCTGTGTCCTCTGCTCTGTGCACACTGACTCTTGTGAACAGGAGTCTGAGCCCGTAACAGACATTTCATGTCAACGTAAAAATCTGCGTGTGTGTGCAATGTTCTCATGTTAAAATACCTAACAAGAATCTGGCATTCTTTTTGCTCTAGAAATTACCCATGAGGGGAAGGAGTGACTCCCGCAAAAAGGCTTTTCAACAATATAACAGTCCAGAAAGTCTGTATAATAACATGCAGTTCATTTCTTTGTCAATGAAAGATTTCTCTTCTGCGGTACTCTGATGTTTCAAGCATTGTCTAATCAGAATTTTAAATGATGAGGCGCTTCCCACTAGAGATCTCTCTGAAGAACTCATAGATTTCAATTTAAGGTTATTAATCATTATTCTCACCCTAAAAATGCCCCTTCTTAATTTGATCCTCTTATTCCTATATATAGGATAGATTTCTGATAGATTCTTGGAGTAATTTGTATTGAAATATTCATTCATAATTTTACATCTTCCTCCATACGTTGTTATTAGTTATGGTAGCTGAAGAAAAAATATTGAGCCCCTTCAGTCTCACTCTCCCTTTTTTTGTCCTCTTCCACAGTCAGTTTCTGTAAACCTCTTTATTTATGGTTCACTTCTGAACTATTTTGCCTCGTCGATGTGAAGCTGGTGAAATGCTATTTGGAACTAAATACATACCCAAGTACGGACACTTCAGAGCAAGATAGTGAGGAGCTGTTGACTTCTGTGCCCATTTCTAAAATTATATATTATCTAATCAACAGAGAGTGGTTGTGAGAATAGCCACTGGCTGCTTATATAATTGGTGCCCAAACTGACCTTTTGATGCTGTGCTGAATTACAAGCTCTTGTTTATTTTCTACTCTTATTCTTGCTCTGCATTTTTTTTCAGTCTTTATTATTTCCCAATCCTGTTTCTAAATATGTCCTTTTCCTTGTTCTCGATGGTATTTGCAACTCTTCACTTTTTTATATCAAGTAAATTTTATTAATGTCATAATTTCTTCCTTTTAAGGACCATTAATGAAGCGGTTAAACAGGAATGGACATAACACAGATTTTGGCAATATTGCCCTTCTCTTCTGACTCAGGGTTTTACCACTAACACTGCGGTTTTTTTGCAACCCCTCACACACTTCTTAGTCCACATGGCAGTTTGTATCCAACCAAGTATGAATTGATTTTCAATTTAAGCTGTGCTAAGGCTGGAAGTGATGCTGGTGCTGATAGGACCACAGAGCAACCGCGAGGTTTTCCATGGCATGCTGTGGGAGTGGGCGTTACACTAGGCAGCATGAAGGAGCATTAAAGCTCCATTTGACGTCCTGGCCAGTTCACCCTGGTAAAAATCTATAGCTGATGTCTGTGAGCAGCATTCCCGGCAGGTGCTGCTCGTGAAAATCTGGTTTAAAATGTAAGCTCCTCAGCCTGCTTCACAAGGAAGTATGAGAAAGAGAACATAACTTTACATCTAAGCGGGCTCAATTGTATGTATGCTTATTAAAATGGTATGTGATATTTGGACATATAGAAATCAGTATATACTTAATGTTCAACTTGCCATTTAAAATAAACATAGATCCCTACTAAACTTTTGCATCATTAATGACTCTTTTTGACTTAATAATTTGTTTTAATGACTTGACTGAGTGGCTGCTTAATGTAAGCAGATATCACATCTCTGGTATACAAGATTTCTTTCGTTGCATTCAGCATTTCTCTGTATAGGTAGGGTACTTTGTTGTGTGGCACTTAAGGACCCCTATGAGTGCCAAATGCCTTATGTGATTTGTTGCCCCTCAGTATCTGAGTATACTGATGTGGATGGACACTTTTGAGTCCTTTCTTACTTCTTAGGATATTCATCAAAATGTGGTTTTCCTGATAATCCATGTTCTGAGGGCTGGATGCCTTTAAAATTTTAAATGCCTTCTCTCCTTTTAAATGCTGTGCTCTGTTTGAAAATCGAAGAGCTGTCAACATGTGCAGAAAGATGTGCCTAATAAGACAAAAACATTGGTGTTTATTTCCCTGATAAACTGTGAAGGATATGTAGAAACCAGCATATTAAAAAAAGAAACTAATATGCTTCATAATTTAAAATTAAAATTATTTAGCAATCTTCACACTTTATGACTTTCAAATAAAGGTATATGAAATTGTTTGTTATTTATCAATTTCTAGCACAAGGTAGCCCATAAACTCTTGAATATCAGATCTACCCTCTGTAGTTCTTTGCTGCCATCTTCTGTTTCTTACTGTTGTTGTTCTTAGCTTCTGAAAAGCAAGGCTGCCATCCGAAAGAGCAAAAATTTCTACTCTTTCCTTCTTTCTTTCTTTCTTTCTTTCTTTTTTTTTTTAGCTAAAGCAAAGTGAAGCAAATGCAGATACAAAGGAGAAGCTTCCATTGCGTCTGCGCATCTTTGAAAAATTTCCTAACAGGCCACAAATGGTGAAAATCTCCAAGCTTCCTTCAGATTTCACAGTTCCAAAAATAAGGTATTGAAATGCTTCCTTTACTAATATCCTATAAATCTGTTTGATATCACAGAGCACTAAAAATATGTAATTGTTTTGCTTGTGGATTGAACAGATAATTCAGAAAATCCAAGTTGAAACAGAACTGGATTGAAGTCTGATGCATTTTATTTTCAAAATAAAAAATTGTAGTGCTCTTTATGTCACACACAACTACACTGACTGAACGAGGCATAATTGATACAAGTAGAACATGATTAGAAAGTGTGTTTTGTTCCTTCGCTCCCATCTGGGTTTTATATTCTTGGCTGAGGTAACTAGCTCGCAGTCTAATCAGTTCTCATCTGATTTAAGATGTGACCAAGTACAGATCATTAGAATGTGTTGCCTAGGTTGTTTCATAGCAGTTATGCTGAAATGACCTGGACTCCTCTTTGGAACTGAATAGGTAACAGTTTTCTGTAAAACACAACTTAGAAAAGGAGCAGACCCTTGTCTGGCCCCTAGATGGTCAGTTGTAGTGCAGTTATTCTTGACACGGTCCCAAGAGCAGATTAGAGCCATCCAAAGGCTCCTCCAGCGCACAGGCTGCTCAAACTGAGAATGCAGCCCAGGGCGGCCACACAGGCTTTGGCTCTTGCAGTATTCCCAGCCAGCCCACACCGCGAGGGGTAAAAGACAGCTCTCGGTGTTCTGTATCTCTTCAGATTACCTTTATTTTGGTTATACTCATAAGAAACTCGTAAGAAAGCTAGTACAACTGGTTTGATTGGGTAGTACAATCTTAGCTGCATGAAAAGAGTATTGTGGATGGAAAGGTCGGAAAGAAAAACCTTCCCCTTCTAAGGTGCAGGCATAGCTGCTATATCTTTAGTTCCACAATACTATTTAGCTGTACAGCAGGGGTATTTTTCTCCTACTCTTTGTCTTTTTTGGTATCCCTTTCTAGTGTTGTTTTCCCCAACATACTCTAGCTTAATGTGTGATCTTGCTAGCTACTGAAAAACTTTAAACAAGCTCTAGGAAATCAGAACTTTATACCTAAAGCACCTGTACTTTGTAGAAAACTCTCTCCAGATAGAGATTAGTTATAGTCAGTTTACAGTGGGAATAGCTCATCTCTAAACCTAAAACACAGCAGGATAAACATGTGTTTCTTGTAAACAGAAATACTTCAAGGATTTAAATATGGTATATGTGATGCGCGGAATTGCTAAGCTGCTTAATATTGGCATTCAGAGCAGTTTTTGAACAGATGTTGTTTGAAATTTTGAAAATCTTGAAAATAATTTCTTGCAGAAAGTATGTTTCTTTTGGATTATATCAGCATCTGATTAGCATTGAAGTAACAGCTCGTGTAAAGAACACAAGAAGAGCTGCAAGCTGCAAAGGCACTTTAAATAAATATTTAACACTTTAATTGGTAAAGAAATAAATAAAAGAATTATTTTAAAAGAAAACAAAACTTTTTTCCTTGAAGCTACATGCAAGACATCCACCTCACAATTCAGTTATGTATTTCTTTGATAGCTGAATTTAAGTTTAATCAGGTATTTTTTCTGCAGTCTGCCCAACTGTACCCCTATATATCTTTTTCTTGTGCACCCACAGGTTGCAGGACATGAAAAATATATATATATTAACTCTAATTAATTTTTAATCCATCGTTATCTTCTATTTGTTCACAAGGGAGAGTTTTATGAAGCAGTTTATTGATCGTCAGCAGCAAGATACCAGCTGTTTGCTGCGAAGACTTCCTTCAGCTTCTTCTTCCTCATGTGACCACTCTAAAAGATCTGCAATTGAAGAAAATAAATACATTGATCAAAAGGTAAATGTGGCATTCAGGGCAGCAAGTGTTTTTGCTTAAGTACTGTGAGGGAAGAGCTCCAATTCTAGTTTGTCAAATTACTAAAGCTCTAAACACAACGTACAACAACAGAAGACAGCATAATTTGGACAGTTAAACAGATGTCTCAGCAGATTCCTATTTGGTTTAAATTTTCCTATTTCCTTTGGCTTCAAAATTCAGGATTTGATGCATTTTTTTAATGCATCCATCTTATGAACCTAATTCCTTAAAATGTTCTTGTTGTGAATCAGTTAGAGGTTAGTGGAAAATCAAAGTCCACATGGAATTTCTGAGTGAGTCACTTGCTACCATTGGTACAATGTTGAAGACGCACTTTACTGACGTGAGGTTCTTTGTAATCACTGGAGGTAAATAGGCAAAAAATTAATCATTCTAATTATTTAGACCACGTTAACCTCTCTGTAGGTCTGGGAATCACTGGAAAACAGAGCTGTTGTGTTGAATCCAGTCTCCCAGTTGGACTGTCATGGATAATTGGATTTGAAAAATATATCAGGATGGAAAATATATCAGTTTGGAATGATCATGACGATGATGCAACATAGGATGAAACGGTGTGACTTCTAGCACCTTGCAAAACAAAAGGGTCTGAAAAAAATAATTGTTGTGCTTCATGGAAGATACTGATTTCCCACATTTCGCTTGGTATTTGTACTGATATCACTTCTTTATGATTCCCAATATTGTGTAACTCATTAGGGACTTTCTGATCGGACAAAAGAACAGTCCTCCAGCCCATGACTAACATCTTGGGGTTTGTAAATACATTTGAAGTCACAGAATCGTGGACAAGAAAGAGAGAGGTCACATGTTGTAGTTAGGCAGTATAACTCTGTAACCTAAAACAGCATTAGTAAAAGCAGAAGGCAGGACTAGGGAAAACAATACTTTTCTGGTAATGAATGAGAGGCAAATTGCAAAATACTGTTCATTTTCATCTCTATTTCAATGCAATCACTCATTTCTGTGGCCGGTGTGTTCTATAATACCAGATAACAAAAGCTGCACTGGAAGCCCTGAGAGGGAGCTCTGCAATATATATATATATATTTAATCAAACATAGGAAAGAATAAAGCCTGTATGGGCATTATCTGCTCCAAGAAGCACAGCAGAAATGTTGGATAAAGCATTAACTGGCAAACATAGGGGTTGGCAAAACTACACTGAGTTTTGCCAATGATGGCTCGCCCACGCTGTGCCAGGGGAAGCAGAGTGAAGCTCTACCATGTAATCAGGGATAAACGGAGACCTTAGACTTGTCCCAGTCACACAGAAAAGTCCACGGTGTGGAAAGCAGAGTGCATATTGAATGCACACTTTCAATAGATCTGTTTACATGAAGATTTTTTAAGTATATAAAGTTGCAGTTTTAACTCCTGCTCTCTGCTGTTCATAGAAGTGAACCCTGATTGATTACATTTGAAGATAAATTCACAATACTTTGCTGAATGAGCTCTTGCAATGTGAAAATGGAATGCAGCATTCTTTTCAATTTTTCTCTTCTCCCCAAGAGCAAATGTATGTGATCTGACTTTCATTTTGAATTATGTGTTTGAAAATTGCATTTGCACTATTGAACTTGCTTTAAGCATGCACATTTGTATTTCCATGCCTCAGAGGTAGAATCAGTGATGAGTAACATTTCTGATAAATGCAGCTTAAAACAAGGTATTTACACATTCTTGTTATGAAGAAGAGAATGTTAGGTAGGATTTTGTCAAAGTAATTACTCCAGCTTTCTATAGTTAAAATTACCATGGCAATCTCATTTTTGTATGAACAAATCTTCTTAAAAATGTGTTATCCTTAAAACGAGCTTAGAATGAATGGTTGCTTTTAAGCATGAACCTTGCTTAAAAGGTTTGTCAAAGAGAAACTTGAGCAAATATTTGCTAGCAGGATGGCTAGTGGCTAGCAGGATGCATTCCCTCTACTCTTGATGACAGTGTGGTGACTTCAGAAGCTTTTCCAATCTTTTATTGCATTTAGTTGGGGGAAGTGTAGGAATCCTGCTGGTAGGATCTGATTTCTTTTTTTCCTTTGTGGTGTCTATAATATGGCCAGCTTCCTCATTTCCTCCTGGATTTATATCAACACTTCAGTGTTCCACACCTGCTGAAGTGGTAGACAGCACTGAATACTTATAGCCCTTTCCTTTCACTTCAGCAGTGTTCTTTTCTCTCTCTCTACAAAGCTGAGCTGTAAATGTTCTATTGCTTCTTTATTCAAAACCAATCTGACAGGTAATTCAAGATGATTGATAAAGCAAAATTTTCTTCATTGTCTTGTATAACAGATATAGTAAGTTTTTAAAATATTTTAATTGCCTACTTCCTTGAAAAGATATTTTTAATTGTAAAAGAGAAGTTTATTTTAATTGCTTTTTTTCATTTGTGGAGGTTATTTAATCTTCTCAAAATAAATGAAAAGTCTATTTATTTGCATGCATTTCCTTATATATATTACTATGACCATAGTGGCCAGATTTAAATTATTTTTATTCTCAATATATGCCAAATCAAAAGAACAGCTCCCTAAAACAGATATCTTTACTATAGTCATTTTTTTCTAGTAAAGTCTGTGACCTCCAAAAGTTTTTCCAGTTCTTCCAAAAGGCTAAACATTGCTCAAAGTAATGAACTAACCAAACTAACCAAAAACTATTATCAAGAATCACTTTTAAATACCTGAATGCTCTTAATCTTTTATGAGGCTTCTCAGAGTTTGCTCACCATGTGTGAAGGAAAACTTTCTTCCTAATTTCTTGCCAGCCAAGCCTGGGCCATCTCTGTTGTCGCTGCTTGATAGGAAGCTTAGCTTGCTGCTTTGACTGAACCATCTATGACTCTCTCTACCTAAACATGTAACACTGGGGTCTCCTGGGGTCCTCTGAACTCAGCACTACAGGAAACTCCATGACATCATGATCAGGGAAATTTTACTGTGGAAAACTATAGAGGTCACCCCTAGTCAGCTGGCTGGGTGACTCAGCTGGAATTGAGGCGGTTGGTCTTTGCTCTCTCCTTGAGGGTCCACGGAGCAAATATTCTCATACCCATTAATCTCTTCACTGACCTTCCTCACTGCATCCTGAGATAGGCTATCCCACTGTGGCCTGCAGGATCCTTGCATTTTGTTAGGGGAAACGGGACTGGCTATTTGTTTGAGGCTGCCTGTAGCAGGAAAGGCTGTGGTAGTAAAAAGAGCCTAGAGATACTTTCTGGTGGAAGAAGGAAAAGTGCCATGAGTAAACAGTGCCATTGTAAAATTCATGGAAAAAAGTAGATATGTGAGGGGTTAAAAAAAAAAAAGTGGGGATTGCAGTCATGGCATTAAATGAATACTCTGGATGTGGGAGAAAAGGAGTTTGCAGAGACAGAAAGGGAGGTTCCTTCATACTTCACAGCTGTATGAAAATTATTCACAATATGCTGGGAAATTTCCTAGCTAACCAATATTTCAGCAAATTCTTGGACAGGAGAACTGCATAAAATGTATGTACACAGATGAGTTTTGTGTAAGTGGGTAGATGATAAGAAAGGAAGTTGGCAGAAGATGGAAGACATCTCCTGTGGTGACTCTTGTAAGAGCTTGAGGAATGGTGACTCCAAGATTCAGGGGAAAAAGTAAATGAATTGTAATGTTTACAACACGTCTCGTGTCCCTTGGAATTACAGGAACATAAAAACATGTCAGAATGCTGTCATAAGAGACACAGAACTTTCAGTAGGCCTTGCTAAAAATCATTTGAGGAGGACCTTAATAAATGGATTACTTAGCTTGGACACAGCACATTACTGTTACATTATATTTCAAAACAGACAGATTCCTGAGATGAACTTTGAAAGTGCCTATAGCTCAATATGTACAGATGCTCATGTGCGTGTTTACATCAATGACACGGCAGGAGTGAATAATAATAAATGAAATAGTAAATAATAAATAATAATAATAATAAATAAAATAAATAAAAAAGTTCCTAAATAAAAGTTTCTAATATGTTCATGCATTTTATAGTGCATAGACTTTGAAAATCTCCCATGTATTTGAAATAATATATACAGACCAGCCTGCTCATTTCTTCGTTTGTAACATTAATTGCATAGTACCAAACACATTTTCTCTTTTCTATCCTCTTTATCTTTCCGTTTCCTCTCCCCTGTATGAATTTTGTTTTTCACTGTGCAAGCAGTGAAGTCAGTGGCCTTTCTGGTCTCCCATTGGAACAAGATCCATAATTAAGGCCTAGCTCATGTGAAAGCTCCCACACTATGCGAGTTTCCTGTTGTTAAACAGAATGAAGATGTATCATGAAAGGTCATGGACAGAAAGGTAGAGTTTCTCTCTAAGGTATCCAGGTCTGTGGCCGTGGAGGACTACGAATATTAAGCAGCAGACGTTGCACTTGGTTCTGCATTCTTTGGGGACTCAGTGCACAGAAAAGAGCATCGAGGTGGTTTGTTCATGATGACCTGTGTTGCCTAGCAGACAGGCTGCTGAGCCTCGTAACAGATTTTTTAGGCTATTTGGCTCCATTCCCAGATATGATCCTGCTGATATCTATTAAAGTTAGATGGGATGGAACACAAACATCAACCCAATTATAAGCTTCATCCTAGAAGGGTTTGAGTACTTCGTTGGAGGTCAGCTCCCTTTGATTTATGTAGAAATCAGTGCTCCTCAGCATCTCAGGGAAAGTTTATGATTGTATCTGTTTACAATTTGACACACAAATTCAACACACAAGATTGACCACAACTTTTAATGCATGTCTGGTTAACATCATAGATACTCCATTTGTGAGCTGCTGAGACATGTCACCTACTCTTGATAAGATGTTGTTGCTTAATCTAGCCATTTGTTCCAGCCTGTCTTTTTCTGATCTGTGCTCAGCTTCTTTCATTAACTCTTCTGTTTCTTGCAAAAAGAACCACATATATTCTGAGAGTATTTTGAA